AGATGGCCACCGGAGCCACAAGGCAGAGCAAAGCCACTGTCTACAACAGCGAGCCTGTGTAGACATTAGGAGAGCAAGGTGGACATTAATCTCCTGGGAAGAACTGGCTCTGACCCTGGTTCCACAGCAAGACATGGTGGCATTGCCTCCAGGCCTGCAGAACATGATTGCCCTGAAGGCCTAACTGCCCCGCTGGGATTGTATCTGCCCTACTTGATGTCCCCACGTAGGCAGAAAGCCTCCAGGGGAGGGAGAGACAGGATGTGCAGAACAAAAACTGTGCAAAGTCTCTCTCAGTGGTGACCCCAGACAGGCAGGTCTAGAGGTGCTGTCTGGGCTAGGGACAGGGAACAGGTTCTCATGGTAAAAAGTGCCTCCCCCAAAGTGTAGGTCTTTAGGGAAGGGTAGACTCTTTTCCATTGGAGAAATTTTCACATGACCTTCAGTTATGGGGTGTTGAAAATGTGTACAGAAATCAAACACTTTCTGAGAATAAGCCATATAGAAATATATTTTCAAGTAATTCCTTGCTGTTGATCTGACCAATCAATTGTTAAAGACAAGAGGCAGATTTGCACACTGAGACAAATGTGTGCTTACTGCTACACAAAGAATGAAATTGTGGCAGAATACTTGGTTCTGCAGGATTCAGGGCTTCTTCGGTGTTTTTAGGAGCTGGTCGATATTTGTATTTGATGACCATCAGTACTTAGGGCACTGCCTCACAGAGATGTGTACAACAGAATGGCAGGGGCATGCTTAAGGCCATTTTTAGGCACCCCTGGAAATCCTGCCCCGATTCCAAAATTTACTTAAGAATATTTCACAGAACTCAAATCAGCAATACAAACAGCAGTTTGTAAAAATTAAACATTCTATCCCAATCCTGCTCCAACACATACTGATTTGTACTTATGGGCTGAAAGTGATGGTAGGGAGCTGGTAAAAGTCATTTTTTATTGTTTTTATTGAGCTATACATTTTTTCTCCACCCCCTTTCTTTATCTCTCCTCCCCTTCTACCCTCTCTCATGGTCCCCATGCTCCCAATTTACTCGAGATTTTGTATTTTTCTACTTCCCATGTAGATTAGATCCATGTATATCTCTCTTAGAGTCCTCACTGTTGTCTAGGTTCTCTGGGATTGTGATTTGTAGGCTGGTTTTCTTTGTTTTATGTCTAAAAGCCACTTATGAGTGAGTACATATGATATTTGTCTTTCTGGGTCTGGGTCATTTCACTCAATATGATGTTTCTAGATCCAGCCTTTGCCCACAAATTTCATGGCGTCATCATTTTTTTCTGCTGTGTAGTACTCCGCTGTGTAAATGTATCACATTTTCCTTTTCCATTCTTTGATCGAGGGGCATTTAGGTTGTTTCCAGGTTCTGGCTATGACAAACAATGCTGCTATGAACATAGTTGAGCACATGTCCTTGTGGCACAATTGAGCATCCTTTGGGTATATACCCAAAAGTGGTATTACTGGGCTTTGAGGAAGGTTGTTTCCTAATTTTCTGAGAAATCGCCACACTGACATCCAAAGGGGCTGTACCAGCTTTCACTCCCACCAGCAATGCAGGAGTGTTCCCTTTACCCCACAACCTCTCCAGCATAAGCTGTCATCAGTGTTTTTGATCTTGACCATTCTTACAGGTGTAAGATGGAATCTCAGAGTTGTTTTGATTTGCATTTCTCTGATGACTAAGGATGTTGAACATTTCCTTAAGTGTCTTTCAGCCATTTTAGATTCCTCTGTTGAGAGTTCTCTGCTTAGGTCTGTACCTAAGCATTTTTAAAATTTGATTATTTGTTCTTTTGGTGACCAATTTCTTGAGTTCTTTGTTTATTTTGGAGATCAGACCTCTGTCTGATGTGGGGTTAGTGAAGATCTTTTCCCCATTCTGTAGGCTGCTGTTTTATCTTGTTGACTGTGTCCTTTGCCTTACAGAAGCTTTTCAGTTTCAGGAGATCCCATTTATTAATTGTTTCTCTCAGTGTCTGTGCTACTGGGGTTATATTTAGGAAGTAGTTTCCTGTGCCAATGCATTCAAGTGTACTTTCCACTTTCTTTTCTGTGAGGCTCAGTGTGGTTGGCTTTTTGTTGAGGTCTTTGATCCATTTGGAAAAGTCTTTATTTTTTATAATTGCTTCTAGTTTCCTTTTTTCTCTGAGCCCAGCCACGTGCATATCAGATCCATAAGGTTTGATGTCCACATGTGACCCAGCTATCGCGGACCACAGCGGAAAACATTGCAGATTTCACACGTGCTAGCCCCATTATCAGTGTGACCTCCTTCAGTGGGGGAGGGGACAAGTCCATGAGTAGAGAGGGCATACCCGTGTCCACTGGGAGAGAACAGAACACCTCCCTGGGATGACAGGGAGGCTGCAAGTGCGAGGGACAGGTAACAGGTGTGAAAGGAGAGGCTAGAAGAGGCCAGAAAGGAAAGACTCAGAACAGCATGGCCGAGGCTGTGTGGGAAGCCTAGAGGGACTACCGGGGCCTTCTGGGAGGGTGAGGCATGGCCCCCAGGTCTCTACTAAATGGTCTGGAAGATGGGGAAGAGGGACTGGCTGGTTGTACGGCAACCCTCAGCAATATGGACAGGGCACCCACCCCCTTCCCGGTATAGCACTGGGAAGTAGGAAGGACCCTGAGTGGACAGGAGAATTTGGTTTCATTTCTGTCTGGTTCTAACTTAGCTGACTATCCAGTCCATGACCAGAAAGACCCGAGGCCAGCTGTAGAGCGTGCCAAAGGCCTTCCTATGCTGTGTATTTTAGGTTGAGTGCCTGGCCTCTCTGGGCTCAGCAGGGGTTTTTTCCTGATATAAAAGGAGCCCTCAGTGAGTCTGCCTGTACCCACTTGCTATTGTTGTAATTAAAAAAAAAGTGGCGTGAGAAAAAGATGCCTTGCAACAGAGTTCACATGGAGGGGTTTTTATTAGTGAAGGGGAGTGGGGAGACCAGCCTCTGGGGACAGGAGCAGCAGAAGAGAAGAAAGAGATAGAGAGAGAGCAGATGGGAGGTGTGCAGGGCCCTTTAAAAAGGGGACATAGAGAATGTGCACAGGAGGTGATCTTAGTGGCTACAGCTGAGACCATATACCCCAAGGCCAAGTCAGTACAGATGCCTGAATACTCACAGCTACTGTCCTCCCAAGTGTCCTGGCAATGTCTGGCACATACCCTGGGGTCTTCTGTGAAGAGCTGGACACTGCCCCCTCCCTCTGAGAGCCCTGCAGGACCAAGGAAGAGAGCAAGGCCTCCTGGGCCCAGGATGAGATCTATGGCAGCGTGTGTACAGGGCTGCAGACAAAAGCCCGTCCTGGGTGTGCTGTGCGGGAGTCATAAGCTGTGACCTTGTAGGTATCGGCATGCAGGGTTTGTGTGTGTGTGTGTGTATCTGGTGCATGTTCAGTGTGCAAGTATGTCTGCTAGGGTGTGAATGTGCTGTGTGGAGGGTTGTATTTGTGAAGCTGTCATGGTGTCCATGCTTCCCTGGTGTGTGTGTAGAATTTGTAAGTCTGTGGCGTATATATGTCTGTGGTGTGAGTCTATGGTGTGTGCTCCTGGTTGTGAGTGACGTTTGTCTGTCTCTGGAGCTTGTGTGTTGTGGTGTGTGCATGCACAAGCCCCACCCCCGCCCACCCCAGAGAGTGCTGTTGGCCTGGAGCCTGGTTCTGCTAGCGCCCTGCCAGGGGTTTTCCTGTCTGAGGGAGTTAAGCTGAGGAGAGCTGGGCCTCCCGGATGAGGATTTCTGCAGGCTAGGCCAGGCTGTGGGGGTTGCATCCTGGCAACATGGGAGAGTGTCCTCCAGGTACCTTGAGACTATGACATGAAGACAGCTGGTGGGGAGGTTTCCATACCACATAACACACACACACTCTCTCTCTCTCTGTTTGTTCTGTTAGTTCAGTTTTTGTTTTTATATCACCAATCAAAATCTCCCCTCCCTCTTTTCTTTTCAATTCCTCTCCTCCTACCTCCCTACTACCCCCGTCACCCTCCACCCACTCCTCCTCCACTGTTTCTCTTCAGATACAGATGGGCATCCCATGGATATCAACCAGTCATGGTATATCAAACTGTAGCGAGACTTGGTTTCTCCTCTTCTATTAAGGCTGGATGAGGCAATCCGGTAGGAAGGAAGAGTCCCAAAAGCAGGCACCAGAGTCAGAGACAGTCCCTGCTCCCATGGTTAGGAGTCTCACATTACACAACTGTGATATGTATGTAAAGGGCCTAGATCAGTCCCATGCAGGCTCCCTGGTTGTCGGTTCAGTCTCTGTGAGCCCCTATGAGACCAGGTTAGTTGATTCTGTGGGTTTTCTTGTGGTGACCTTGACCCCTCTTACTCCTGTTCATTCCTCCTCTGTCTCTTCTATAGGATTCTCTGAGTTCCACCCAATGTTTGTCTGTGGATCTCTGCAACATACGGCTTTTTTGATGAGGGACCTGGCACCAAATTTGAATGCTGCCCTAAGGACCTTCCAAATGATAGTCTGGACCTTTGCCCAAGCTAGGCCCAGGTTTCCTCTGTGAGGGTATAACCTGGTCTCCAGTCTTCTGCTGCAGAAATGCTGGCTGTGACAGACACAGACCTGGGAGCCCGTTTCTGCCCTGCAGCGGCTGAGCCACCAAGCTGTCCCAGCCTGCTACACAGGTCAGGTCCCCTGTAGTGCTTACTGAGCTGATGGAGGGGGGACTACCTAGTGTTGATCTCAGTGGGAATCAGAGCCCACCTTGACACCATCAAGCACAGTCCGGATGAGATAGTCCATGTCCTTGTCCCCGGTAGCCATGAAATGACATAGACACCCTAAAGTTATTCAGGGTGAATACCACAGATCCCACCCCCTGCCCTACCTTGCCTCGGAAGGCAAGGAGAGATCAGGCAATTGTGTGGGGGAAAAATGTAAGAGGTCACTAAAGCCTCACTAATCAAGATCAACAATATTTTAGCACCACATTGTTCAAAATCAATACAAAGACACAATTCGTGATGAGCAAACCTAGAACTTTTCAGCAAGTCAGAATGCCCTGCCCTCAGCCCTCACCCCAAACTGGCTCCAGGGCCCAGGGAAGCCAGGAGGAACTTACCCCGCCTCTGCAAAACAGTCTCCATAGTGACTGGTCTGTGGAGGTGGTGGATGAGGTGTCCCCAGGAAGGGGAATCCCTCTAGGAAGAGACTATGGACTTCCTCCCCCAGGAAACACATGCCAGGATGTGAGAGGAAAGTCCCCCGGGGGCTTTCCCAGGTCAGACCTGGGTTGGCTTCACCCCAATTTGGATATGGACACAGTCTTCAGGGCCCGGGACAGAAACCCCTGCCCTCATGCATCCCATGCCCCGCCCAGTAGAAGCCTCAGCTCTCCTCCGGGAGGAACCGTCTTGGATTTCCTGTTTCCTCCTGCGATTCCAGCTGCTATGGAGAGCTGCCTTTAATGGGAGGAAAGCCAAGATATGTTTCTAAGGTTCTGGTTGGATCTCTTGATGAAAAGACTTCACCAGTTGCTGGGACAGCCGAGGGAGAGTGGTGTTGTTTCCAGATGTTAACAGCTTCCAAAGGTCTGGGAAGTCCCCTCCATGGCAGCTGACCTGTGAGGGAAACAGGGCTGGAGAGGGAACAGGCAAGGAATTGCTATTCTGTTCACACGGGGTCACTGAGTAGCTGTTCATAGGGAACCTACATGGAGGACTTGGGCTGCCTCCAGTGTGGACACAGTAGCTATGGAGTCGGGTCTGAGAAAGGGCGGTGATGACCTGTGAGCCTCAGAGACCAGTAGTTGGAGACACCTGACAGCAGCTATGGCTCCTAGTGAAAGGACACTGGCAAGCCCTCACCCCTGTGGAGCGCAGACAAAATGCAGGGACCTCCAGAGAATGAACCACGGGCCTTGGATGGCCCTACCCATCTGTGAGCGGGTTCACATACTTGGACTCAACCAGCCAGATGCCCAAGTCATATATGCGAAATGGCAAGGTTTACTCATGATCCACACGTGCCGTCCCACGTACTTTGAAACGCAAGCCACACGGTGTCATGTCTGTCATCAGCTTGCAGGGTTCAGGATGAATATGAGGAAACAAAGTCTGCACGTGTGGCCACAGCAGTCTGACCGCAGACCCCGTCCCGGGTTGGCTGGTTGACTAGATGTGTGGCCACCAAATCGCTGACACGTAGGACAGAATGCACACCTGAATGATAGAAGGGAGATCTCTTTATCTGAAGGACGGATTGAGAGCAGGTTGGTGAGCTGGAGACGGCAGAAGTCTTTAGGCAAAATACGTAGGAGAAGCCTGGGGGTTGCTCTTAGGGTCTCTGCTGACAGAGCCATGCCCAGCCAAACACGGGGGCTCATCCTCTTTACCAAGTTGATGGACAGTAGGTGAGAATCACACGTGGCAAACACCTTCCCAAACAACAGCTGACTGATCACTGGGTACTACAGTCTAGCCCAAACAACCCATTAAATGAACCACCACATCCCAACTTTACCCCTCCTGTCTGGGGGTTTCCTGCTGGCTGAGCACAGAGGAAGTCAGAGAGTGGGGGCTCATTACTGTCTGTCTCCACAGTCTGGCTAGAGAGAAGTCAGCACAAGAGGTCAGAGCTCCCGGGCATAAAGGAGCTCACTGCAGATTCACCTGGAAGAACGCCTCCAACAGAGGCTTGGCCTGGAATTCTGGGTCTCTAAGCACCCCTTAGGACAGGGTCAGCTGCTGGGGAGAATACCTCCTGCTCCTGTGGGAAAGGCTGGGGCTCTGCCTTCCCTTCTGAGTGCACCAGACCTGTCAGGAGTCCAGGTGTCTGCTCCCCCCTCACTCGCCTGTCTCCTACCAGGCTCCTGCCTTGTGCTTACAGCCTGCCCATCACAAGGCAGGGATGGAACAGCTCGCTGGCACAGCCAGCCTTTTTCCCAGAGCCTTGGGATGGCTTCTTAGATGACTCTTGGGTCTGTCTGAGCGTGCTTTCCTGATGGAACACCTCCTGTGGACCTCATGCACACGTGGGCTTTGGTGACCCTGGTAACCTGCTGTGGATTAGTCAAGACAGTCTGGGCAATGATTCAGTAACCAGCACCTCCAAATTTCCATGCTGTTACAAGGCACTCCAAAGGGCCATATGGACAGGTCAGTTTTTTCTGCACTGGGGAATCCTGGTCCCCCTATTTATGATGCCGCCCACAGACAGACTTTCCAGAGGCCCACGGCGGGAGTAGAAGATTGCAGTGTGGCCTCCAGCCCAGGAATATTTTGGCAAGAAGGCACACACATGTATTAATCCTGCTCATTGGCCCTGGCTGGTCACATGATCCCAATCTAGTCACAAGGGAGGTTAGGGAGTGGGAAACAAGACAAGTAGATATTTGGCAAACACTACTGCCCTTCCTCCGCACAATGGCAGGACATATGGAAGAGGGAGATTGGGTGGGGGCTGACTCTGTCATGGTATAGCAAACCACCTCAAAGCCTATGGGCTTCAGTGCTGAGTTTGGAAGCCCTGGCACAATGGGCCCGCCTGCTCAGAGGCTATCATGAACTTGTAACTGAGAAGTTAGCCAGAGCTGCATGTGACTGGGCTGGGAATCCTTTCCTATGAAGGGTCTCATGCAGCTAGAGGCCAGAAGCTTCAGTCTGTTGTGGCTGATGGTGGTGGGTAAGCCCCTGCCATATGAAGCATGGTATCTCCGTAGGGTTGATTGGCTCTCCTCATAAAGCAGAATAACTTCCCTTGGCAAAGAGATCCGAGAAGGAGCAAGACGGAAATCAGTGTCACGTGTGACCCGGTGGCGGCTGTCATGATCACACAGACCCCCCACTGCTATCAGAGTCCAATGATATATGCTATACTGTGTGTTAATTTGCCTGAGTCAGGAGGTACCTACTTGAGTAGGCATCGCTTCGGGTGGTGGTGTGAGCAGGATGAGCTAGGAACTGTGGCTGAGAGAGGTACAGACTTTCCTGGCATGAGGGGCTCCGACAGTATGCTGGGGGTCTGGGGAGACCCAAGAGCCAGCTGGAGAGGACTCACCCTCTGGGAGTCCTTCAAACTGTAGCGTTTGGCTTGTTTCTCTTCAGACTTGGGCTGGAGCCGCCCATGGACTCTCCTATATAGTGTGCCCTCTATAATCATGTGCAACCACTTCCTACGACAAATAGATACATAGCCCCGTTGGCTCTGTGTTCCTGGAGGACCCGATGTTTGGTGACTAACACAGGAGAAGAGCCCTTGGACCATCACGGAAGACGCCACAAGTTTTCAATTTTACTAGAGCCCAAGGAGAAGTCAAGACCATGAGTCCCAGCTAAAAATGGCCATGGCTGGTCCCCAGTACACGTTCTGATTTCCTAAGAAGCCCATAATGTCAGCTTCCCCTGAAGGACTCCTCAGTGAGGCCCATTTCTGCCCAGCCTCTGTGTGGGCAAGAGAATGGGAAAGTCTACAGAGGGCAGAGTGCGAAGGGGCTAGCCCAGAGGGTGGAATGTGAAGGGGCTAGCCCAGAGGGTGGAGTGGGTTAAGGGCAAAAGCAATCGTTTCTGTCCCCACACCACGGCTGGAGAGATTAAAAGACTAACCCAGAAGCAGGAGCCAATGGATAAGAAGCTTAAAACCGGACCTGTCCACACATGACCAGTTAAAGGTGATCAGATGTGGGCTAGTGAGATGGCCTTGTTGGCAAGTGCTTGCCATGTAAACAGAAGAACCTTAGTCTGATCCCCAGTGCCCATAGGAAAGCAAAAACAACAAAAAAGGATATAGTGGTGTATGCTTGTGATCCCAGTCCTGGGGAGGCAAAGACAGGTGGAATCCTAGAGCCCTCTGCTCATCGGTCGATCCATGTTGGTAAATTCCAGGCCAGTGAGAGAGCTATCTCAAAAAACCATGGCGGATTGCTCCTAAGGAGCAGGATATTCAAGGTTGATCTCTCTGACCTCTATAGGTACAAGCATCTTCACCTACACAGGTTCTTGCACACAGATAAACATGTGCACGTGTGTACACAAAGAGAGATCAGATGCTAAGGGGATTCTTCCCCAAGGGTAGTTAAGGGGGGAGAGAGAAGCTTGACAGATCATAGCTACCCCAAAATACAGTGGCTCTGTGCTGTCTTCAGCATGGCTGACTGCTCTCGACCTCATTTGAGCTGTGTGAAGGTCAAATAGCTCTGTTTGTCTGCGTTTTGAGGGTACATGGAGAATGAAGAGGGGTACAAAGGGCATTACAGAGAGACAACGTGAGCTGAAGACCTGTGCACACAGCATACTTGGGGTTCTTGCTGCTCTTAGTAGTTAGCAGTGAGTTGGGCTTGACACATCATGGCCATTTCTGTCACTGTAGCCCGACATTTGGACAGCAGGCTGGCTCAGTAGCTTGTGTAGAACTGGGGGGACCCGGAAGAAGAATCCTACCACTCATCAGGAACCAAATTCATTGTCTTATTCACCCTAGGGAGTGGTGTGCTTCGCCTACTGTGGTGCATGCTGGGAAGATGTTTTCATTTAGCCCACATGGTCTGCCTGGGCTGGCTCCTCTGCTGGGTCCAGGAATCCAAATCAGGGTCTCAAGATTCTGTCCTTCTGCCCAGGCTAGCTGTGTGATCATAGCTATTATCACATATTATTTGATATTATGATTTGATATTATGATAAGGGATACTTCAAACCTGCTGTCTGAGTGTTTCAAGCACAGACTTTGCAAGCCATAGCTTATTCACATGTGTGTGGAAGGCAGGTAGTATGGTAGACAGAGGTTGGCTTCGGGTGTCTGGCTAAATTGTTCTTCACAATTTTTTTTTTTGAGACAAGGTCTCTCACTACACCTGGACCGTGCTGATTCGGCTAAACCAGTTAGGTCAACAAGCCCCGGGGGTCCCTGGTCTCTGCCTCCCTGGAGCCGGAATTACAGCTTCATGCTGCTATGCCCAGCTTTTCAATGCATAATGCTGGAGATCCCACTCAGACTCTTGGGCATAGTAAGGGCTTTACAGCCTGAGTCATCGACGCAGCCAGACCACGACTCTTGATTGAAAGATTACTAAATACCGCGGGAAAGGCCCAGGGCAGGAAGCCCACCTTTTGTTCATGCTGCAAAACTGAGTCTACAACCTTCCAGACCTCCTGGAGGAAAAGAGAGAGATCTGGAAGACCACCCAAGAGTCTCCAGGCTTTACAGCTTTGTGTGTCCCCAGGTTGCCACCTCAGTATCTCCACGAGAAGCCTCTCAAGGGTGTCGGTGCCTAAGCACGGAATAGGGGCGGTCCTAAGCACGGAGCAGGGGCGGTGCCTAAGCACAGAGCAGGGGCGGTGCCTAAGCACGGAATGGGGGCGGTCCTAAGCACGGAGCAGGGCGGGGTGCCTAAGCATGAAGTACAAGGACACTGAACAAGGAAGCCTTACAGGGGTTGTTTTACACCCAGGGCAGAAGAGGATCTGCTGAGAGCCCCAAGACATTCCAGAGACCTTCCCCATGGCGTCCTGGGAATTAGTCGTGGCTTAAGAAAGCTACTCTAACCCTCAGAACAGTATTAATATGGCCCCCATTACAGGTCTTGTCCACCAGGCCTGCTGATGTCCTCAAACCAAAGGCCACAGCCCAAAGTTCATCCTGCAGCCTAAACAGGGCTGGGGAAGAGGATGGTGCAGCTTCCTTCAGACCTAGCCTGGCTTGTTGCTTATAGCATGTGTTTGAAATCAGCTGTCCCCCTTCCCAACTCTTCCCCTCTGGTCCACAGCCCAATCCTGGCTCAGGAACCCAGGAAGGAAGATTGATAGATGGGTACCTATGTACTTTTAAGGGTGGACATTGTGTCCGAATCAAACTTGGACCAATCCAGAAACTAGGACTTGTTAGCAAATTCTTCCAGTCCCCTGGCTGAGCAGGAAGCTGCCCTCCCCAGAACCTCTGCTACCCAGTTTTCCCCCAGGGGCCTCTCACAAGCAGGCTTTGTGACAGAGCTGAGGACACCTCGGCTGCAGGAACCAGTTTTAATTCAAAGCTCCTTTTGCCTGGACATGCAGGATACCACTGAGTGAGAAGAGAAAGCCCACACTGGTCTCTGAACAGAGCTGCTTCCTTCAGCCATCTGGGTCCACACAAGCCCCAGTCAGCTTCGCACAGAGCAGTGGAGCCTTGCTAGCTAGCATCCATTATCATAAACACACCCCTCAGCACAGCTCTGTCCTCAGCAACTGGGTAGGTTATGGCTGCAACTTGGGTTCTTTTGTGTCATCGGGATGGGGGTGGGGTGGGAGAGCGCGGAACCACAGGTACATAAACCACCAGGTATGGTGGAGGGCCAAGGGTAAAAGCCAGGTCATGTGGCCAAGGGCCTGGAGGCTAAGGTTCCAGGCCGTGGAAGTCAGGTGACCTCAAACAGCTGCAGGTTGTCTGTGCCCACAGAAATATTTGTCTCCACTGCTTGGCACACAGGACCTTTATGCAGGTAGAACATAGGATGCACCCCATCCTGCTCTGTGGGACAGACATCACTTCCCCTGTGGCCAACTCTGTGGTCACTTCTCCCTGTGGTTCCTTTTCTTACCCCAAGATCATCCCCTGTGGTCACCTGCCCTGGGGACAGCCATCTACAGATAGCTTTGTCCTTCTAATCACCCCACTTCCTATGGTCACCCCACTTCCTATTGTCACCCCGCCCCCATGGTCACCTCCCTCTTAAAGCCACCTTCTCCCTTGTGGTCCCCTCTCCCCATGGAGTCCTCTGGGTCACCTCTACCCCAGGTTCATGCTGACCACTAAAAGAAAGGAGCCCTTCATGCCTTTGTTCCCCCAGAGGCTGGCCCTCCCCAGTTCCGAGGCACCTGACCTGGGGTCACATGGCCAGCCTCGCCTGGCAGGCTGGATGATCTGCTCTGAGTCACTCCTCTGTGCCCGAGCTTCAGCTTCCTCCACAGCACAGGGACAAAAACATTTGCTTTTCCACCCTGTTGTGGTGAGCAAGTCAGAACAAGACGGAAGATCGCTGTCTGCCTGCGGTGTGTGCCCAGGTTCTTATGAGTGCGCGTGAGTGTGTGCAAGTCGTTGTAAATGCATGCCTCTCTAAGATGCCCAGTGGTGACTGGGTTCCAAAGATGCTCTAGGCAACCCCCTCCCAGTCCCAGGAGTCTCCTGAGAGCAGGGGCTGCTGGGACCTGCATGGCACAGCATGTGCCCGCAGCCACACACTACACTGCTTCTGCTTTTCACTGATCCCACTCAGGGCCAGCCTCTGGCTTTTCCGGGACATTGCAGGGCCTGCTGAATGGATACTAGCATTGAAGGTCATCCCTGCAGGGGTTCAAAACCCCCTTGCTGACAGCCAGACTGGTAGTGGCTTTGGGACAGCTCTGAACTCTGCAGCCAAGCAGCAAACTGGGGAGCTGCAGGCAGCAGCAGCCAGAGACCTTCCCGATGAGCTCTGGGGACCCACTGGTGCCACCGAGCACTCAGCACCGTGACTGCTGGGCCCACTGGGCCAGTTCCCTTCATTATAACCCTGTCACCACTTGGGGGCCAGGCTTCTCCCATCTGCCTGGGTTGTGTACACTGTTGGCCACCCACAAATAGCTGGCGATAGGCCTTCAAGCCACAAAAGGCCGAGAGTCCGGAGGGTGGATCTCATACTGTGAGGCCTAAGAGGCCCAGCTCAGGCAACTGGAAAGTGGAAGGCAAAGATGCTGCCCAAGAGCGGCCAACAAGTGCTCTCAGGATCCTAAGCAGGTTCTCCTCAAGGGCAGAGAGGGGCCTCTGAGGTTTTGGAAATGCAACGGCAACCCGGAAACATAACTACCACCCTCGTGTCTTGTGCCCTCTGCCAAGGACAGTTTGTGGCAAACCACTTCTCTCTTCTGCTCCCATTTCCCTTTCCCCAGTAGGGCACCGGTACCCTCTGCCCAGAGGCATGGGAGGTGCTCCGGAGTTCTATCTTTCCTAAATGTGAGTTCAGGAGAGGTGCTCCCGACCAGACAGGAAGGAAATGGGGCACAGAACTTCGCGGCCTCCAGCCCTCCGCAGGGGCTGCGGAGGTACACCACAGTCACACCTCCCCAACCTCCAGACCCACGGCCATCTGGGGTACAGCTGCCAGCTAGCCAGGTCCTTAGTGCTGGGACACTTTGGAAGAAAGATGGGGACATCTAAGGCTCGGAGCTGCAGAGAATATTGCGATAGATTTCCATTGGCTGGCTCATCCAGGTAGCTAGCTGGAGACTCCACGGAGCATGCACATCCAACAAGACCAGGAAGTGTCAAAGGAACCTGGCCTGCAGCTGATGGGAGGAAGAGGAGGGAGGGTTTGAGACTCAGGATCAGTACCCAGCACAGTGCAAGTAAACCACATGCCTCCCTGCTCCTGTCACTGGCCCCATAGACAGCGGCTAGGAACTCACGCCCCACCATGCAGCACTGGTCACTCCCAGAGCTCAAGACTCAATGGCTCTGCATACAGCAGCTAGAGTATCCTTGCCTTCCCCCTCTCGGAACTCACCAGCTCTGTACTCTGCTGCTGGCCTGACTCACTGGACCCAGATGTTGCCACCTACTCCTGTGGAGTGGGCTCTACCTTGGTTCTCTACCCACCATTCCAACTCTTCCTGCAACTCCAGATACCTCCCTTCTACTCTGTTCCTTCTTCTGACCGGGCCTTACCCCAGGACTACCTGTCCTAGCCTGCGCTAACCTGTGTGCCCTCTGACCTAGGGTCAAAATTTCAGAGCTACCATTCTATCACTGTAGCTCCAAGGGGGAGATCCCAGCAAGTCTGGGGACCCTCCTCAGCAGGAACTATTTCCTGGGGTGAGGCTGGGTCCTGCACAGGAGGGACAGACAGTCTTTCTGCCAGTGGGACAGTGCGATCCTGCCCTGCCCTCAGGAAGGCAGAGCTAGAGGCTGCAGACGGGAGAAGGGCAGGGGAGGCCTACAGCGGGGTCGCAGGCTGAGGCAAGCCACTCTATTCCTAAATTCAGCCTTGAGAACTTAATAGTGGAGGGGTCATTTTCATAGCCACGGGAGCTCTCTGGCCCTGGCCCAGGCCGCAGGAGAAACAGCAGGGCACAGGGAGGGAGGTGGGTGGTAGTCACTCTGTTGCTCCATCTGCCTTTGTCTCCTCCAACAAGGAGGGTGTGTTTGTTTAAGAATGTCTCTCTGGCAGCAGAAGTCTGTCTCAAAGCAGAAACACAACAGTGTGGGGAAGGAGGAAGAAGCCTCTCCACCCGGAAAATATTTCCTCTTTACAAATAAGGACCCTGAAGTCTGACTTCACAGAGCCACTGAAATCCAGAGAGGGCATAGCGCACTTGGGTCCCCAGACCAGGATCAGGACCGGCGGGCCACTAGAATCCCACACCTGGTGTCTCCATGCTGTAGTTGCGGATTTTTCTCGCCAGAAACACCAGGGTTTGAGCCTCTGCAGGAGCCTCCTGAATCAAGTTACCACAAACCCAGCAGCTTTCTGTCACAGAGATCCATTCTGCTAAGTTCTAGAAGTCCGATGTCCGAAAACAAAGCATGGGTCCCTTCACCGTCTTCCCCGGAAGACAGGCCAGGCTCCTCCGGTGGCCCCAGAGAAAGCTCTCTTTTGCCTTCTTGTCCATTTTCTGGTGGCCCACAGTGGTCCTTGGCTGGTGTCAGAGTCACCGCTCTCTGCCTCCACCTCCACAGAGCCTCAGCTCCATGCATCTGTTCGCACAGCCACTGTCTTTCAGAGACACCAGATACATCAAACTCAGCTGATGTCCCCCGGCAGGACTTGGACATAGGGAGGCTCCCCGAGTTGAAAGATCAAGAACACCAGGAGTCTACTATACCCAGGGCTATGAGCTCCGCACGTCGCTGAGCCTTGAGACCCAGGACTCTGCCCTGCCTGCAGTCGTTTGCATGAGCGAGGGCTTCCATCTTGGGTTCCTTCTCAGTTAGGGCAAGCAGGAGGGCTGGGGACACAATTAGGCAAACCCATGGCTACAGCAAAAGAGTGGTCAACCCTTTTGGCCTACAGAAGCCAGACGGCATCTCAGCCTCTAGAAGTGGTCTTTTTGTTCTCCCTTGCCAAGTTCTGAGGCCTCAGTTTCCCCATCTCCACAAGAGTTCACACAGGTCGTTATGACAGGAGGAGAGAGATAACCCACAAAGGAGTGGATGAGCCTGGCTGTTTTCAGGCTCCAGGATTCCTGCCCCTCGGACCCATGGTATCATGGGACATTTTCTCCCAGAGAACAGACTGGGAACAAAGACAGCTCAGGCCCT